AGCAGACTTGGTGAGGCCAGCTAGCTGATATCAGCTAGTGAAGGAACAGCAGGCACAGTCATCACCCAGAAGAGAATAAGCATGGTGACTGCAATATGCATGTGAATAATATCTATGGGATCCAGCATGAAGTCCCACACTTTGAGAATACCATAGTAGAATTGTATTAGTAAGTATTCTAGTAGAGTATTTAAATATGGTATTGTATGACTGGAGAAAAGAGTTTTCTGACCCTCCACAGTTGCAGTATATTGGGCACAGAAAGTCTTGCACTCTAGCTCTGGGTTTGTGTTAGTAACTCTGAGTGAGAGAATAAACTTATTATTGAATATCATTGAGAGAGCTGTGAGAACTAAGCAAGGTATTGAAGCTTGTGAAGGACTTAGGCCCAGTTTGATAAGAGGTTTTGGATTGTGCTTTAATCTGAGAATAAGAGAATGGTGTCTGAAGGGTGTCATCTTGAGTTTTTGAGGTATTTGTGATGTGTGATGCTACAGGTGGTAGAGGTTCAAACCCTTTGGCTTGATTAGTGTGCACTTTTGTGTATTTCTGCAGATTAGCAGAGGTTCAAACTCTTTGGTCTGTCAGATGGTGTTTCATTGTGTTTGTGTCTCTGGATTGCATATGTTTGAATTCTGTGGGTCTATGATTGGTTTAGAAACTTATAAACAGAGATCTGTGCTCTTTGGCACTTGTGGATGTGTTTATGATTGGTTTTTGCTTAGAGTGTGAAGCTTTGAGTCATGTATTGTGTGTGTTAGGGATTTTGAGTTGATCTAAGCTGTGCTTGGAACTATTTGAGAGTTTTGAAGGAGTGTTTTGATATATTATATTGAACTGCAGCACCTCATGCCTTGAGGTCTGGCAGCATCTGTTGCCACCTCTTGTTTTGATAAAATGAAAAGCTTTGAGACTTAGAAAGGCCTCAGACTGTTGTAAGCATACTATTACTGTTTGTGTGCTGTGATCTCATTAAAGAAGACATTATATTTGTTGATTGCTACTTTTATCACATTATAATCTCCCCCATGAACTAAGAGTTTTGTGTGTGTGTGAGTGTGGTCAGTAGATAATGCTCTGCTGTATTCATTTTCACCTTGTGCACACTCAGATCCTCTTCAACATGAACTAATTACATGTGATAAATGACTACTATCTCACACTTCAGGTAAAATAATCAAGTCCACTGATATATAATCAGATCAGTGTGTCACAAGGCCTATAAGATTGGCTTGAGAGTAGAATGAGATGAATAAACTTTAGCTTGAAGCTGGAGTTTACCAGTGAGAGCAAGCCTCTTAAATACTGTACAAGTCCTGTTCTAAATATACTACTGCTAATTGTGCATTGTCAAGTCCTTTGTGCCTATTATCCTTGAGTATTGCTACTGTACATAAAAAGATGATTGTGTGTCATTGGGCAATGCTATTGTGTTAAAAGACAATGATAGACTCAGCTAGTTGTGATGACTAAGTCTTGTCCCACAGTCTTAAGCATCTGTGTTAGCACTCTGACTAAGTATAAATAGGAGTTAATCAAGGGAAAGAATGGAAAAATCATAATATTATCCTCTTCTTAAGACTATTATCCTGATGGCTTAATTTACAGATAGTTTATACTCATGTATGGCTTTGTCAGTGTTTATCTGCTTCTTGTTCACTCATTGGTTAGATTCTGGTCCATATCCCTTCCAACTGACAAGGTAGTTGACCATTGTCATTGTCTCACTGCCTTTTGCCCTGATTTTATATAGTTTGTGGTTTAAAATCTGGTCAACTTCATAGTGTTCTTTATTGTTGATCAGGTCAGAGGGTGGAGGCAGAGGCCATTGTTGATTAGAGAAGGCCAGTGTGATGTAAGAGGTTAATAATATCTCATTAAAGATATCATGGATTTTTCAAGTGGCTGGTAACTTGAGTTTGTAAGTGCTAGCCCCAATTTTGTATATTATTGAAAATGGGCTGGTGTGCTTATCAGCTTGCATTTCAGGTGTAGAAGGTGAAGGTTAGAGGTGTTGAGCCATACTTTATCACTGACAATATATATATGTGCAGGTTGATGATATTTGTTGTATTGGGCTTTCATTGCTGACACTGCTTTTTCAAGGGCCACTTTTGTCTTGGCATAGATTTTGGCTATGATAGTGGTGAAGTCTATAAATGCAGGGGTTCTGGTGTGATATCACTTGGTTTGCATAACATTCAGGTGTCAGTCATAGTTGACAAAGAATAGTGTCTTCTCTGTTGCTGAGTGGACCTGATTATTATGCTGAAAGATGGCAAGAGCCAGCCATTCCACTCAGTCATCTTATTGGTAGTTAATAAATAGGCAGAGATATTTCTCCACTTCTTGGTTTGCATGTTCTGTCTGGCTATCAGTTTGTGGATGATATGCAGTGGATATGTTGTGCATAATATTCAGGAGATAATAAAGATTATTTAAGAATTTAGAGACAAATTGGGGTCTCCTGTCAGAGATGACCACCTGAGACATACTGTACTTGATGTAAATCTCATTGTGTAGGATTTTCACCTACTGATGTGCTTGGTAATGGCTAAGTGACTAAGAGAAGTGAATGAGGAATGAACTCTCAATCACTAACACCTAACCACTCAATACACAATCACTAAATACAGTTGAGGTCAGTTGTTTCAAGTATGATAAAAGCACTCTTGCAGTCTTAAATAAAATCAAAGAAACAGTCAATAAAGACAGTTATTCAACTCTATCTTGCTTTCAAAGATGCAATACTCATGAGAGTAGTTTATAGCAATATTTAAGTATAATTAGGACTTAGAATCAATGCCAAATTATGCTCCAAATCAACTTAGAATATTCCAAAACCCAATGAACTCTAAAACCCAAATACTAAGTCTATCAAGCACTTAGGCTTGACTAGCTGCACTCTTGGCTGGCTAGCAGTCCTCAAAACCAAAGAACTTGTATTCTGATGCTGAAACCCTTATAGTTTGAAACCCAAATTAATTCAAAACCCAAAATATAGTTATTATTCCAATCTAATTCTCTCTCTAAGTGACAAAGCAACTTAAATAAATCACTAAGTCAAAGCAGAACTCAAAATCTGTTGTCCCAGGGACTAGCTACAGTGGGCTAGAAGGCCTGAATGCAGGGGTGGGTCGCTTGCTTGCTATTTCCCTCCCATTCCCTTCTTTTATACACCAACAACAGGTACAGAATCTATAAATAAAGTATTTAAAATAATATTTCTCCTGTTCAAAGCTGAATCATGCCATTATTCCAGAATGGCAGCACTCCTGGACCCCCCTAGGCTTGCCCAGACCTGCCTGGCCATCAGACAGCTTTATTTTAAGCCTACAGTGCCTGTGGGTACCTAACTCCTTTCTGTCTACTCAGAGTTTTAATCCTCTGAGTTATTCTTAGTAGCTCAATTGATCAGACCTGGTCAGGCCTGGTCAACCAGTTCTATCCACTCTATTCCTCTCAATTCTAAGTCCCTTAGGTCATCTGATACCTAGAAAATTTGGACTTAGGCATTTGAGTCAAAACTCATAGTGCTAGCCACAGATCATTAGGTCTCTCTTCTTACTGCTTCTGGATGATGCTATCTCTACTCAATACTCCACAACTGGCTATGGTATTATACCCCTAGCTGTCTTAGAATATACTCATCTTAGTGGCATGTAGAATTGGCTCTATTTGAGGTACTATTTCTAAGTTCAACTTGGACTTAGTATTTTCCAAGGTGTGGTGCCAAACTTTTCTAAGTTTAAACCTGACTTAGGATTTTTATCCTTAGGCCATGTTATTTTACAAAGTCCCTTTTGGACTTAGTATTAGTGACTAGCATGACTATCAGCTCAGAGCCTCAGCCATAGTTCTCTACTGGCTAATGATTCTCAGTTACTAGCATATTCTAGTGTGTTATGCAGAATTTGCAAATTATAGGGCTGGACATGTAGTCTGCATATCAATGACACTGGACAAAATGCTCTATAATGTCAAGATGCACAATTAAGTAGTTATATCTTTAGATGAATGATGACTAGTATATAAGTAGTATAGCTCTCACTGTAGTATCTCCAGCTTTGAACTAAAGCTTATTCTTTATTATCTTATTTTGAGCCAGTCATAAGGTCTTACAACATATAGACAAACAGACACATATAGTGGACTCTGATGTGACTGCTCAAATATGAAGCAGTATCAGTTTATCACATCTTTCAGTCATATGTTATTTGGGCTTAACAATTAGCTTGAAGCTTCTAGCTTTCCTTTCTCAAGCCCAATTGTGCTGAGAAACCAAATGCCCTCTGCACTCAATCCATCAGATCTGAACTTTATCTATAAGTTCTTTGAACTCCTTGCTTTTATTATCAGAATATTATTAGGCTTATTGGTGATCATACAGCTGTGCCATAGATGCTAATTAATTACAGCCTGGGCAATTTATCATTATCAAGAATTCCAACACATCTGCCAAATCTTACACAATATCACTCCTGATCTCTCTCTTCATGACAGCTCTCCCTCTGCCTGACAGTCCTTTCAGCCCATGGAAGGAACCATACTCAAAACTGACTCTGGAGACATGCCTTTGCAATATTCTCAGGAAGAAGAGGAATATTGATATCCACTCCAACCCCTGACAGCTGTCATCCAAAACAGTGATGACCCTTAGGCTACAGAGTTTCAAAGACCAAGGCTTGAAATGCCAATCCTGCAAGTTGAGCACATAGACATCACCAGCTGCATCCCTACAATGAGGGCCACCCCCTCAACTGCACCCTCTGAGCCTGGCATTGGATGCCATGCCAGAGACTCTCTTGATGCCTCTGAGGTGGCTTGAGAGAATAGAAGTCCCCTATTTAACAGCAACCATGGATCTCTATATATGACACCTACAGGAAGCAGAGAGAGTTTCTTTGCTGAGCTATACATTGAAAACTAGAGCACTAACAGCAAGGAGAATAGAACTGGCATTGTTGGAACTGATGATGTATATTTCACTGATGACAGCAATGAGCAGCAGTATTGGAGAAATGCTATCTTCAAAGTTGAGTGAATGGAATGGTATCAGAGATGCTGCAAGACATGCAGAGTAAGAAGCACATGAATAACACCAGGCTTATCACAACCAACTGAGCCTATTAATCCAGTCCTCTCTCCAGAGAACAAAGTTTGATGTACTGACTCTCTTGCCAAGTACATCCAGAAGCAGGTGTGAGTCGAGTATAAGGCTGCTAGAGAGAACACCCTCTTCAAGCAGTACCTCTGAGCACAAGAAAGGCATGACTGAAGGAGGAGCTTGGAGAACTCTAGAATCTCCATCATTGATTATATCCTTGTCAACTCCCCTACCCTGTTCTAGGAGTCCAGCACTCCCACCATATCTGAGTCTGACCCATAGGCAGTACTCCTCAAGAGTGTTATCTATGTGAATAATATCCACTGACAAGTGTTACTTGACCTTGATGATGACTGCCTGTTATTATACAGGACTAATTTCATCACCAAAACTGATAATATTCTAAGCTGGGACAGAGATCTTTCTAGTCACAGCAGAGACCTCAGAGGTAATGAGGAGCACATTGACTCCACTGGAAACCTCAAGTGGATTTTGGACAGATGCATCACATCTCTCTTTCTCCAACTCTGCTTCTATCAAAACTTCTGCCAATATCACAGAACAGTGATGGTGGAAGCAGCAAGAAACAAGGCCCTTGAGAAGCAACAATGAAGGCAACATCCTTCTCCCTGCCCCAGATCTGATGATGCTGGACTCAGCAACTAGCAGCAGCAGCAGCCAGGCTGATCCAGACACTTACAATCTGCTTGACAACAATTCTCTTGATGAGGGGGATGAGGGTAAGATAGACAATGAGGAGAAGGATCTCCTCTCTGAGTGGGAAAGTGTATTCATGAAGCACCCAACAGAAGAAGAATTGGCAAGAAGGGCACAGGAGAAGTGCCAAGAGAAATTTTTATGGCTATACTATGAAGGAGCAGCCTCTCTATGGATGGACAACACCTGGTTGGTGTTGTCTATGAGACTAAGGTATACCACCACCAACTAAGTTAAGCATGCAGATATTATTCAATATGCAGCCACTGAGCAAGCTATTTTTATTTACAATAAAAAATATTTAGGACACTAACTAGTGCCACTACCAGCATATAAGTCCAGATTCAACATTGAACTAATGTCATAGATGCTGAGCATAGCATCTAGCTAGGCTGTTTATATAGCACCTTCAATCCAAACCACATCTCTCTGATATACATTCACCATCTCAGCCACAAGATCTATATCAAAACCCATGCACTCAACTCATGCACTGACCCTTTGCCAGTCAGCCACCATCAGACAAGGCTGAAGAGAGTGGGAGTGGAAAGGCTCTAGCAGCACCTCCACTCAAAGAAGATGACTCTGAAGTGCTCAAATTAGGATTCACCATCTAAAATAGGCATATCATACACAAGAAAGCTCCACCATCAGGAAGTCCCATCACTAATGATGGCTCCCTCTATTCTTTCTCAGGACCCCTAATATCCTGGAACATCCCATTATTTAGTAAAATCTCAAACCCTATGATGGCACTTATAGCTGATGCCACTATTCTCAACTGCAAGCCAGTTCTCATGTGCAAACCCTGCTCTTTCAGAGGAGCATCTGAGGATATTGACTGATTTCTCACTGACTGTGACTAGTATTTCCAGATCTTTGCTTCATACTTTCTCCTTGACATGTACAAGGTAATATTCACTATAACTCACATAGAGGACAAGATAAAAATGTGGTGGGTATTATTAGCTCCCATATTCTGGTCAACCATGTGACAGCATCACTGAATGCTCTTATAGCCAGTGCTCAAACAGATAATTATTGACAAGTTCACAGACTCAGCCATACAGAAGGTGTATAAACAGAAGATGAAAGAGTACAAGATGGCCAACAAACCAGCTACTGAATACTTCAACAAGCTGGAATGATTCAGTAAGCTTGCTGGAGTCCAGGATGATGTCACAGACACAGGCTGTATGGTTGAGTATATAAAGATAGAAGAACCACTCTTCTATCTGAAGATAATCTCAGATCTCAGACAGAATATCTCAAAGGAGTACAACATATGAAAGAAACACATCATCATAATATACAGGGAAAAACAGTGGCAGCAGACCAAACAGATCACTCTGTCCATCAGCAGATAGAAGCACTAAAGACAAGAGGCAAGACCTAATATCTCCAATCTGATCACATCTGCCAAGCCTAGCAGCTCAACTCTAACTTCCTTATATGGCAAGAAGAAAACTGGTATGAGCACAACATTTATCAGAATAGATAAGCTGATAGATGTGAATCGACTTAAGAAGGAGAGCAAGTGCTTCAATTGTGATCAGAAGGACCATATAGCATAGGACTGTCTACAGAAGAAGAACAAGTGTACTAGAGAAGACCTTTGGACACTGATTGCCCAATTACAAAAGGAAGAAGAGGATCTTAGATCAGAAACAAAGGTTGAGGAAGTAAAAGATAGAGCCAGACAGTGAGTGATTCCACTGACTCAGCTAAAATAATGAGTGGTGTGTCACAAACAGATGCTGGACAGACTGATTATATCTCTGTAGTACCACCTATGTCTAAATTATATGTGCATTCAAATATATCTAACTTCACCACTCAAACACAAGAATTGCCTAAAGAACCAACTCAACTGTCTATAGGCTGAACAGAGGCAGCAAGCTCCATCAGCTGGCTAAAGCCATTTAATACTGAATAGACTTAGTGAGTGATCAAGAATATAAAGGATGAAGCATCAGCAAAAGTGATGCTAAGAAACTGGATCTATAAGACTCAAACCAAAGAAGTGTTAGATTCAAGTGTCACATGAGCAGAAACACATGATAAACAGAAGCTGCCTCACACTTCAGGCAGTCAACTGAGTTCACTGATGCACTTCTGGATCATAGTGTCATAAGGCCAAGTGAATCAGCTCAAGAATAGAATAGTATAAAGATAAACTTTAGCTCAAAGCTAGAGTTTCCAGCAAAATCAAGCTGTCTTAAATACTGTACAAGTCTTGCTAATAATACTACTACCACCTATTGTATGTTTTTGAGTCCATTGTGCTCATTGTCCTGGAACATCACTACTGTACACAAGAGGGTGATTGTGTATCATTGGTTATGCTGTCACATCAAAAGACAATGATGAACTTGGCTAGTTGTAATGATTAAGCTTTATCTTACAGTCTTAAGTGCTTGTGTTAGTGCCCTGACTAAGCATAAATAGGGGTTAATCATAAAAGAAAATAAAAAAATCATAACATTACCCCCTCCTTAAGACCATCATTCTGATGGCTTAATTTAGAGATAATTCATAGTCATATATGGCATCATCAGTGGACATGTGTTTTTCATTTACTCACTAGTTTGATTCAGGGCTATAACCTTTCCAGCTGACCAAATAGTCAACTGTTGTTATCATCCTACCTTCTTTTGCCTTTATTTTTCATGATTTATAATTTAAAACTTGGTTGATTTTATAGTGTTCTTCATTGTCAACAAGGTCTAGCAGAGGTGAAGGTGGGCATTTCTGATTTGGGAATGCTGATGCAACATAAGGCATTAGTAGAGATTCATAGAAAATATCATGTATTTTCCAGATTGGTGGAAGACACAGTTTATAGGCTGAAGCCTCAATTTTAGCCAGGACTTAGAATAGGCCAGTTCATTTGTCTGCTAATTTGTGCTTTAGGCATGGTAGGTGAAGGTTGGTGGTGTCAAGCCAGATCCGATCATGGATTATGTATTCATGAGTGATACAGTGGTGTTTGTCATACTGATTTTTCATAGTTAATGCAGCCTTTTTAAGGGCTGTCTTCATCTCAGCATGGATCTTTGTCCTAGTAGTCACAAAGTCTGTTGAAGCAGGAGTTGTAGTTCAATGACATTTGATTTGTGTTACATTTGGGTGTCAGCCATGGTTGATGAAGAATGAGGTTTTGCCTGTGGCTGAGTGTATCCAATTGTTGTGTTAGGAGGTAGCAAGAGCCAGCCATTCAACCCAGTCATTCTATCAGTAATTAATGAAGAGACAGAGGTATTTTTCCACCTCTTGATTGACTTGCTCTGTCTGGCCATTGGTCTGTGAGTGGTATACTATAGAAGCATTGTGCTTGATGTTTAAGAGTCAGTATAGGTTATCTAGAAATTTAGACATGAACTGAGGTCCTCTATCTGAGATGACAATCTGAGACATGCCATACTTGGCATAGACTTCATCATGCAAGATCTTGGCTCACTCTTCAGAGGTCAATTCTGGCAAACAAGTAATTGAGATGATCACTTTTAAGAATTGATCAACTATGATGAGAATAGCATCATAGCCATTATTTTCTGATAATCTGGTGACCATATCAACTGAAATATGAGTTTATAGTGAAGATAGAACCTCATTTGGGTGGAGTGGTGCAGCCTGTGATCATGTTGATAACTTCTCTCTCTGGCAAACTTTGCACACTTTAACATACTATGTGATATCATTACCCATCTTCAGCCATCAATATTCTCATAGTATGAGTTTCTTTGTCTTGGCAACATCAGAGTGATCAGCTGTTGCATGATCATGACAGGTGGCAATGATCTCACTATAGAGAGTATGATCCTTTGGGATGTAGATCCACCTATTATAGCAGATCAACCCTTCTTCTTTTGTCATTCCCCACTCATAATTAAGCAATGAGACTACCTGCTGATCCTATTTCTGGCTATCCTGTATTGCACTTTTGATCTATTTATAGATCTCTTCCTCTGTTGGCATTATTATAGCCTGGAAGTGTTCAGACCTTAATAATGTGACTCCTTCATTATTATTTCCCCTCTGATTATGGTCAGCTCATTGGGAGAGTAGATTGGCTTTCTTGTTCACTGTACCAGCTTTATGATGAAGCATATATTGGTACTGGCTGAGTTCTGTTACCCATTAGGCTTGTCTTCAGTTCAGTTTTTGTGGTTGTCAGAAATACTATAGATTTTGATGATCAGTCCATATTTTAAATATTTCTGCCACTCCAATTAGGTAGTGTCTCCACTCCTCTAATGCTAACATGATAGTGAGTAGCTCTTTATCATAGATTTCATAATTCTGTTCAGTGACAGTTAGCACCTTGGAGAGGAAGGCTACTGGTCGCTATTTTCTATCTTGCTTCTAGAACAAGACAGCACTGATAGCCTCTTCACTGAAGTCAGCTTCCACACAGAACTTCTCATTCTATATAGAGATTATGAGAATTATGTTTTCAGCTAATCATCCTTTGAGGTTGTCAAATGCATCTTGTTGGGAGAGCCCTTAGATCCAGAGTGCATTGCCAGTTAGTTGGGTCATTAGTTGAACCATCTTACTGTAGTCCTTAATAAATCATTGGTAGAAATTTGTAAAGCTAAGGAAGGATTGTAATTCCTTCTTTTTGGCTGGTTCTGGCCACTCCACCACTCCTGCTACCTTGATGGGGTCCATTCTAATACTCCTCTCGCTGATGGTGACTCTAAGGTATTCAGTTTTGAGTATCTCAAATTCACACTTCTCTGTCTTGAGGAATAGCTTATGCTTTCTTATCAGAGTCAGTACTTGTTATACTATCCTTCTGTGCTCCTCTTTTGTCTTTGATATGATCAAAATATCATCAAGATATATAGTGACCTTTTCAGTAGAGATGAGATCTTTAAAGATATCATTCATCATCTATTAGAATGTTATAGAAGAGTTGGTGAGCTCAAAAAACATTATGATTGGTTTGAAGAGGCCTTGGTTGGTTTGGAAGGCCACTTTCCACTCATCTCTCTCTTTGATCCATATATTATTATACTCCCACCAGACATCGAGTTTGGTGTAATATTGGATGCTCTGCAACTTATCCATTAGTTCTAAGATTAAGAGAAGAGGATAACTGTTATGATTTTTTCATTCTTTCCCTTGATTAACCTCTATTTATGCTTAGTCAGAGCACTAACACAGGTGCTTAAGACTGTGGGATAAAGCTTAGTCATCACAACTAGCTGAGTCCATCATTGTCTT